AATATGGAGAGAGCGCGATTATGGAGCACGGCGTCCTTGGCGCAGCGTGTTTCTTGAGCGTCGAAAGCGGGGTTCTCTGGCGGGAGCGGGGGTCTTGATTAAATTGCAAGGAAGTCTTGGTTCAATTGCGAGGAAATCTCAAACGGGAGCGCCGTTCCTGAGTTAATCGTGCGGAATCTCAGATGGGAGCGGGGGTCCTGACTAAATTGCGAGGAAGTCCCAGGAGCGGGTCCTGAGTAAATTTGGAGGAAGTCTTAGGCGGGAGCTGTTCTTGTTGTAATCTGGGGGGCCAAGGGCCCAGTTTGAGCCTCAGGATTCTCTGTCCAAAAACAGGGTGCGAGCGCCGAGGGGCACACTTTGATTGAGAATGAACAGTATGCACTGGTGGTGGGGGATCAACAATAATTATTCTTCAGAAGTGAAGGTTCAACAACAATCATTTTAAGACTGTTCGCCCTTATCTGCTCGAATGTCCAATAAAGCGTATTTCCCAAACCCTCGATACAGTCAACCCGCACAGCAAGGATGAACGACTTCCCATGGGTACCCTTGCATCCTTGCGTCTTCGGCCATCTTCGGCCCGTCCTCACCCACTTTCGAAGGCCAACCCCGCTCGAAGAGCCTCGGCATGGGCGTCCAAGGCCCTTGCATCCTTACCGCGCATCCTTACTGTACGGGTTGACTGTGCCCGCCCTCTTCGTCATCGATCGAACCCCTTTTGGGGGGTATACTTTTCTTCCTTGCAGGCAGGGCCCCGGCAAGCGGCGGGGCGGCCGCGGACCGTCGGCATGGCCAGCGGCAGTGATGATCAGCGGGGCGGCCGCGGACCGTCGACCCGACCCCAACACGGACGGACAGGGGACCGACCACGACGATGACGACGACGACGACGTCGACGACGACGGCGACGACGACGACGGCGACGACGAGCGAAAGCGAGAGCGAGAGAAAACGACAGCAAGGCCACGAATGACACGAAGTAGGCCACGAAGGGCAACAGCGGGGACACGAAGGGAATGCGTATAGGGCCACGAAGAGCGCGAACGAGCGGGGGCCACGAAGGGCAGATAATGCGGGGCCACAGAAGGCAACGATGGGGCCACTGAGGGTAGCAACTGGGCCACGTAGGACAGTGATGGGGCCACAAGCGGCGACAGCGGCGCCACGAAGGGCATGCATATGGGGCCACAACGGGCGCGATTCCTGGGCGCCTGGGTGTCGGGAGCGCGGTGCTTGAGCAAATGGTCGGACATTCCAACGCAAGGGCTTTATTCTTCAGTAAATTGCAAGCAAGTCTCCAACGAGAACGCGACTCCAGAGCGCCAGGGGAGCGATTCCTGAATAAATCGTAAGGAAGTCCGCAGCGAGAGCGCGATTCCTTAAGTCCTTTTGCCCTCCACCATCCCCAGTGCAAGGTATAGTGATTAGGTAGGTCATTGATCAGCTCGTTCTGCTCGCCGTTGCTCCGAATCCGTGTCCCAATCAAGCCCACGGTGTCCTCCGCACGAAGCTCTTCGCTGACGTCGCTTCGCCGCTCGTAGTGAAAGTGCAGAGGGCCCCGTTGCACCCAGCGCGACGCCCGTATTCCCGCTCAGGCTCGTGCCGCCTGCGGCTTCTCGCGACATCCTGCCATGCCACTCTGCTCGAATGGTTTCGCTTGTGTGTGTGCGTGTGTGCGTGTGTGCGTGTGTGTGTGTGTGTGTGTGTGTGTGTGTGTGTGTGTGTGAATGTGTGTGTGTGCGTGCGTGCGTGCGTGCGTGCGTGCGTGTGTGTGTGTGTGGTCCTAGGCGTTCCTTCTCCTGTGCAAACTCCTCTGCACCGCCTGCACCCCACGCCCTCCGGCCGCCTGAGGCCCCGCCCGCTTGTGCTCTATCTCACTGTCTCCCCAATTCGTGCTTTGCGCGGCCCGCTTAGCTCTTAATCGGAAGAGGCTCGCTCTCGACCCGCAGACCAAAAAAGTGTGTGTGTGTGCGCGGTTGCGTGTGAGGGGGGGGGAACAGACCAAAAGCAACGCGGCTACTTGCTCTGAGTTCAATTTGGAGGAGCAGGAGGAAGAGGAGCAGGAGGAGGAGGAGGAGCAGGAGGAGGAGAAGGATGAGGAGAATAAGGATAAAGAGGGTGATGCTGCTGATGATGATACTGATGATGAGGATTATGATGTTGATCATGCTCATTAGGATGATTCTGATTATGATGCTGATGATTGATGCTGCTGCTGATGGTTAGGATGATGATGATGATGGTGGTGGTGGTGGTTATGATGATGATGATGATGATGATGATGATGATGATGCTGATGAGGAAGATGATGCTGATGACGATGCCGATGCTGATGATGGTGGTGGTTATGATGATGATGATGATGATGATGATGATGATGATGATGAGGATGATGATGCTGATGTTGATGATGATGATGATGATGCTGCTGCTGACGATGCTGATGCTGATGATGATGATGCTGATGCTGATGCTGATGCTGATGCTGATGATGATGATGATGATGATGATGATGATGATGATGATGATGCTGATGCTGATGCTGATGATGATGATGATGATGATGATGATGATGATGATGATGATGATGATGATGATGATGGTGGTGGTGGTGGTGGTGGTGGTGGTGATGACGATGATGATGAGGAGGAGGAGGAAGAGGAGGAGGTGGCGAGGAGGAGGAGGAGGAGGACGAGGAGGAGGACGAGGAGGAGGACGAGGAGGAGGAGGCGAGGAGGAGGTGGCGAGGAGGAGGAAGAGGAGGGTGGAGGACGGCTTGCGAGGCGCTGTCCACCAGAGGCGGGGCCCGACAGCGGGCCGGCGGCTCTGCCAAGCCTGCGCCGCCGGAGGCTTCACGCTGGCGAACCTCAGCAGGTCGGGCACGGTCCTCAACGGGCGGCTGGTGCGCCGAGAGGCCGAGCTCTGCCCGGGGGACGTCGTCTCCGTCGGCGCCGACCTCTCCCCGGCGGGCAGGCCCCCCCTGCTGCGCCGCGTGGGGATCGGGGGCTGCTCCCGGCTTCTCGCCAGATGTTGGGGCCCCCGGCGCAAGGTGCCCCAAGGAGTCGGCGAGGGTGCCCCCCTGGCCCGAGGCGCCCCCAGCTCTTCACTTGATTTTGGAGCCTCTGGGGCCCTCGGAGCCTCGTGGGGGGAGCTCTGGGGGCCGTGGGGGCCTCCTCGGACATCCTGGGGCACCTTGGGCCAGGGGCACTTGTAGCAACACCCGGGAGGGAGGTGCCGATACCGCTGCCCATCCCTCGACGCCACGGCCTGGTTTGCCCTGGAATTCTGGTCAGGACGCGCCCCTGGAGGGATTCGGGGAGCACGGTCGGGAATTTTTGGACTGCGTGTCGCGCCGCCTGCTCTGGCCCACGACGCCTCGGTGCGGCACGCGATCCACGTTGCGGTCCTGAGTCGTCAGTGTCTCAAGCCTTGTCCGAGCCTCCCGCCCTGTGGAGCGAAGCGACACGACGCTGCATCTTCGAGGGACCTCGCCTGTCCCCCAAATTGGTGTCTGTTCTTGTGCCCGACGCGGGCTCGATGCGGCCTCGACGCGGATTTGGCGTGGTTTCGACGCGGATTCGGCACGGATTCGACGCGGATCTGACGAGGCCGACACGGATTCGACACGGATTCGACACGGATAGGGCCGCGACAGGGCAGACAAGGCCCCCCGAGGATGTAACATACCGCTCGCAGGGCATAGCGTGTCGCCAGGGCCGCCGATGCGACATGCTGTCGGCGACTGCACAGGATGTGGTTACGCCGGGGGTTGGTCTGAAATCGACTCCGTTGAGGCCTGGGCGGCACGGCCGTGTCCTCGTCGGGCCTCCTCGGGGCGCGGCGGCGAACTCTGCTGAGGTCCCCGCCCGCCCCCCAAGGGTGCCCCCCGGGCTGCCGGTTGCAAACCACACCCTTCACAAACCACACCCTTCGGAGTCGCCAGTGCTGAGCAAGAACTCCCGACCCCCAGACATGCCGTCGTCTTGATAGTTTCAGGCCGGCGTCCCTGGAAGTCCCGACCCTTTCCCCGGGACAGGTTTTCGTCCCGAGTCTCTGTGTGACGGTCCCGAGGCGCGGCGAGGGCCTCCCGGGGGCGAAAATAGCCCAAAGCCCCCCCGCCCTGATTTTGCCCAGCGACGCGATCACGTCTGGGACCGTAGCGGTGTCGGCGCCTTTCTGTCCCCCCCCCAAGTCGGGGGTGGACAGAACCCCCAACAGTGACACGTCGATTAGTGAAGTGTCCGTTTTCGGTTCTCGCGAGGCTCGAGAGGGCGCCGTGGCCGTTATTTTCCAGGCTTGCGCCCGCCAGGCTTGGGCCTCATGTCGTTTTCACTAAACCACGTTTTACTAAAGGGGGGTCTGTCCATCCCCGACCAAGGCTGCCGGGAAACAGCGGGGTCCAGCGGCCCGCGCTGCAGTTCCGCTTCCTGCCCGCGCGCGGCGGGCCGCCCGGCTCCGGCGCGGGGGCCGCCGCGCAGCCTGTCGCGTGCCAGCTGTCGTGCCTGGGCGCCGCGCTCCGCTCGGCCGCCGAGGTGCTGGAGTTGCCCGAGGCGTATGTTGCTCCCATCGTACTTCAGGGCCACATCCCAGGAATAAGGTCGAGCACCCAGAAAAGTATCGAAGATGTGTCGAACGAGTGCTCCCCAGGGCCCGGTACGTGAAAACCTTCAGGAATCAGTTCGAGCACCCGAGGCATATGTTGCTCCCATCGTACTTATAATCAAGGGCATAAAGGAACGCCCCTACCCTGGTTTACGAGTTGCTTTGCGCTGAAACTCCTGTGGGCTGACAGGGCAAACCCTGCGTGATGTGCCGCGTCCTGGCGGCTCTAGGCTTTGGGGGATCCCAGGAGGTTTACAGACCACGCACTTGTAACCCAGGGTGGGGTCGTTCTTTCATCCCTCAACTTAAGGACCACATCCCAGAAGTAAGTTCGAGCACCCAGAAAAGTATCGAAACAGCGTCGAACGAGTATCGCCTCCCAGGGCCCGACGCGTGAAAACCTTCAAGGTGCGGTACTTTCTTGGTGCTCGAAACTCTTCCTGGTGAGCAAGGCTACAAAGTAAGTTGGAACATCATGACCCGAGGCGTGCCGGGTGCTCCAAGGCCCTGGCGCGCCTGGCGCGCTGGCGGCGGTGCTGCGGGTGGGCCGCGCGTCCCAGCCGCCCGGGTTCTGGGAGGGGCTGGTGCCCGATGAGCACCTGCGCTCCATGATCTCCCGGGATCACTTCCAGATCCAGCTGGAGCCCCAGTCGAGGAGAAGAGAGAGTCTCGGTGCCGGCGCCCTTCGTGTTTCGCTCTCCTCTCGGGCCTCCTGGGAGGCACTCGTGGCCGCGGCCAGATTTTCCCTATCCTGGTCAGATCGCGCCCCGGGAAGTGTCCAGGAAGATGCGGTATCGGCGGTATCGGTATGCTTTATTTGGAAGGCCTTACGGCCGGTGCCGCCGACCCTGAATGGGGACGACGACGACGACGACGCCGACGACGACGACGACGACGAAGACGCTGACGACGACCATTACGACGACGACGACGACGACGACGACGACGACGACGACGACGACGACGACGACGACGACGACGACGACGACGACGGCGACGGCGGCGGCGGCGGCGGCGGCGGCGGCGATTACGACGACCCCGACGTTCTGGAGCCCTTCTTGGGGCTCGCTTGGGAGCCTCTTGTGTTCTGTTTTGGGGCCTTTCGGCGGCCTCTCGGGGGACTTCTTGGGAAGCTCCGTGGTCACTTGGAGCCGCCTCGGAGCGGACCTGAGGCCTTTTGGACACATGTGGGAACGTATGCATGCAGCACGCAGGGGGATGCGGGGGGAGGGGTCCTGAGTCCCCCCTGTCCACAGGGGGGCCACCCCGTGCACCCCCTGTCCGCAGGTGGGGCCACCCTTGAGGGAGGTCACGACCCCCCAGGCCCTCCCAGGGCCCTCCCGCCTCCCGGGGCCCCTGTTCCGCGACCCCCCTTACGGGAAGGGGCTTCCCTTCGACTCAGTTGCGACGTCGTTCGTTCTCCGTCTGGCTGGATCGCTTGAGGAGGAGGGCTCATGGAAAGGGGGGGGAGCGGCGACGGCGACGACGACGGCTCAAACAGAAAAACGTCTCTCTCACACGCGCCAACAGGCAACGCAACGCCCGATCGGCCCAAAGGCTGGTCCTGATTCAGAACACGGGGATGAGCATGCACAGCGACATTCCTTAGGATTGCCACCGGAAAATTTGGAAAACATCGTGGCAGTAGCATCTGTTGTTCGTCTGGCCAGACTACGCCGGCGCAGCCACGCCAACAGGGTCGGTGGATTCTCCCAGCTAGGAGCACGGGTCGAATCAGGCCGCACTGTCCAACCTGAGCGCGAATGGCACTCTGATCAACGGTGCCCTGGCCCGCGACGTGGTGTGGCTGCGGCAGGGCGACGTCGTGGCCATCCCGAGCTCGGCGGAGGCGCAGCGGGATGGCTGCCAGCCGGTGGTGACGTTCAGCTTCCACGTGCACCAGCCCACCCAGCTCGCCGTTTCCGCCGACCTCCTGTTCCAGTGCCTCTCTGCGCACCAGCTTGCCCCGGACGTCGCCCGCTCCTTGAGGGCCGAGCTGACGCTGCGGCCGGAGCCGGGGTCGGGCTCGCAGCTCCTGCGCGTCGGCCGCGCCGTGCAGCCGATGCCCCTGTGGGAGGCCCTGCTCCCCGACGAGGCGACGCGCAACACGATCTCCCGGAACCACTTCGAGGTGGTCGCCATGCCCGGCGAAGCGGACCGGGCGGCCACGCTCAGCAACCTCAGCAGCCTCGGCACCCTCGTGAACGGGGCGTGCGTGCACGGGCAGGCGCCGCTCCGCGTCGGCGACACCGTGGGCCTCGGCTTCGCCGCGGGCCCGCCGCAGGGCGCCTCCGCTGGAGGCTCCGAGGGCGGCCGCCCTGCGCTGCAGCTGCGCCTCGCTGCCGCGCCTGACGCGCCCGACGCGGGTGGCCTGCTCGCCCCGCGCCAGGGCGCACCGACGCCCTCGCCGCATGCGACCGCGCAGCTCCCCGCGCGCGCGCCGGCGCCCGCCCTGGCGGCGCTGCTGGCCCACGGGGGCCGGCTGCAGGAGCTGTGCGAGGAGGTCGCCGCCCTGCGGCGCGGCGCCGAGCAGGGCGCCGCGCCGGGCGGAGTCCGCGACCGGCTGGCGCAGCTGGAGGCGCAGCTGGACCGGCTGCAGTGCGACGGCATCGACTCGGTGATCAGATCGGCGGCTACAAAGGGTGTGATTAGTTACGCCGGGGTGTGGTTAGCGATCGGCGCCGTTGAGGCCCAGGGTCACCACACTGTCCTCGTCAGGCCTCCTTGGGGAGCGGCGTAGAACTCCGTTGAGGTCCTCGCCCGCACCCGAGTGTGCCCCCCAGGGTGCCGACTGCAAACCACACCCTGTGCAAACCACACCCTTCGGAGTCGCCGAATCGGAGCAGGACGAGTCGAGGCAGTGGTGGTTGGCCTTCGTGGGGCCCCGTCGTCACCACGGCTGGTTGCAGCTCGGCAGACTGGTGATTTCGGACCCTGGGAGCTGCCCGGGGCCGATTTGGAGCTGCCTTTTCCCTGCTCCGAGGTGAGCACCCTGGACCTTCCCCCGCCCGAGCGGGAGGGCGCGCGGCAGGCCAAGAGGGACCTCACGAGGCGGGCCGAACGTCTGCACGACGAGGTGGACGCGCTGTTCGACAGCCTGAGGCGGCGGAGTTCAGTGGCATCTCATGGGAGCCTTCTACCAAGGGAGGAACAAAAACACCCCGACCCCCTATAATCGGCCTTCATCGGGGTTCTTATCATGAGGGTGGAGTTTCTGTTCTCATGCTAGAGTCCCGCAATGGAGGAGAAGGCGCCACTCTGGCGTCGAGTAGCGACCATGGGGTGTTAATTTGGCGTCGGTCAGTGTCGGTTAGCGTCGATTCGCAAGGGCCAACAAGATGTGATTGGAGGCTGCCATGAGCTGTCACCGAAGAGGAGCTGAGGACTCCTGCCAGTGAGCGTGGGCGCGGTGGCCAGGGGATTGATCGAGCGTGCGCCGGTCCGCGGGGTCCTCTGCGCGGAGGTCGAGGCGAATAGCAGCTGCCGCTGCCGGCTGCGGCGCGTGCGCTGCAAAAACCAGGCGACAAGAGCGACCCCACGGCCGCTCTTGTCGCCCGGGGCTCGCCCTCTCGCCACTTGGATTCGGTCCCCCCATGCTGCCTGGCACTGCCGTGCCTCATTCATTTGTCTTACAATATAGATTGGTGAGTGCTTGCGCCCACCCTGCCAGCATGCTTCTATTGCCCCTCCTTGCCCTGTGATTTGGTCACGTTTTGCTCTTCTCCTCTGCCTTTTGGAATCGCCCATGTGGCCGAACGTTGTGGCCAGAACTCTGCCCGGACCATGTGGTCCCCCGGCCGTTGTGGAAACCCTTCGGGGAAGACTTGGGGGAGGATGGCGGGGAAGATCAGGAGGAGGAGGAGGATCAGGAGGAGGAGGATCAGGAGGAGGAGGAGGAGGAGGAGGAGGAGGAGGAGGAGGAGGAGGCGGAGGAGGAGGAGGAGGAGGGGGGCATCTTGGGAAACTCTGGAAGCACTCCTGGCGCCTCCTGAGAGCTTTCTGGGGACCTCTTGGAGGCATCTTGGGGGCTTCTTTGGCAGTCTTACGGCGTTCCTGGCCCGTCTGACGCTGTCGGGAGCCGTCTTGAGGGCCTCTCTGAACCGACTTGGGGCCCTCCTGGGGTGCTCCAGGGCCGTCTTGGAGGCCATCTCGGGCGTCGTGAGGGCCCCTTGGGCTGGCTTGGGGCCCTCTTGGGGCCGTCGTGGGGGCCTCTTGGGCCGTTCTGGTGCCATCTTCGAAGCCTCTCGGGTGATCTTGAGGCTACCTTGGGGGCTCCTGGGCAGTCTCGGCCGTCGGAAGGCCGAGAAGAAGCAAATGCCCAAATCTGTTCAAAACCTGAGGTCGATCAATGATTTTGGCCTCTTCGGGCCCTCCTGGATGACCTCTTGGAGGCCTCTTGGGCCGTCTTGGAGGCCTCTTGAAGGCCTCTGGGGCCATCTTGGGCTGTCTTGGAGGCTTCTTGGGCGAACTTGGAGTCATCTTGGACTCTCTTGGGCCGTTTTGGAGGCCGTCTTGGACCATCTTGGGCGAATTTGGAGGCCACCTTGGCAGTCTTGGAGGCCATCTTGGAGCCATCTGGAAGAGGGAAGACATTCGCAGCCCGGTCTGGAAGAGCTTTGCGGGTGGCCAGCGCGCGGGGCCGAAGCCCCATGGGGAGCTCATTTGGAACAGGACCCAACCTCCCGAACCTTAGCACGCCAGGCACCCCTTAGCTCCTCCTCCTCCTCCTCCTCCTCCTCCTCCTCCTCCTCCTCCTCCCCCTCCTCCTCCACCCCCTCCCGGACCTCCCGAACCTGTGATAAATGCACAGGGGGCGGCGGATAAGACCCAACCTCCCGAACCTTAGCACGCCAGGCGCCATCTTTTACCATCTTCGCGATTGTTTGAGGATGTCCCGAGTGAAACGGCCATTTTTGGAGCCGTCTTGGGCAAGAAATTTGTGAATTGGGGATTTTCCGGGTGGCCGGCGGGACAGGCCGAAGCCCCAGGGGGAGTTCTTGTGGAAAAAGAACCAAAACCAAAACCGAGAGGGTCTAGCACGCCAGGCACCCCTGCGATGAATCGACAGGGGGCGGCGGATCGAAGGCGCCTACGGCGAATCACCGCCGCCCCCTGCCTTTGTGGAAGCGCCTATGTGGCCGAGCGTTGAGGCCAGACCTGCCAAGCTATCGGACCATGTGTTCCCCGAATCGGTTTGGAAAGCCTTCGGGGAACACGTGGGCATCTTGAACGTCATCTTGGCCGCCTGGAGGCCATTTTAACTCTGTCGGGCCTTCTTGGAGGACGTCTTGGAGGGCTCGTGGGCCGTCTTGGAGGCCATCTTGAGCGTCTTAGAGGCCTCTTGGGCCGTCTTGGGGGCCTCTTGGGGCCGTCTTGGGCGCCTCTTGGGCCGTTCTGGGGCCATCTTGGAGGCCTCTTGGGCGATCCTTGGGCGATCTTTGGGAGCTCTTGGGCCGTATCGGGCCGTCGGAAGGCCGAAACGAAGCAAATGTCAAATCCTTCAAAAACCTTCGGACAAAAAAAAACACTCTTTTTGGCCTTCTCTGGCCTTCCTGGAGGCCCTCTCGGAGGCCTCTTGGGCCGTCTTGGGCCAGCTGCGAGCCACCTTCGGCCATCTTGGTGGGCTCCTGGCCCGTCTGACGCCGTCGGAAGCCGTTTCGGGGGCCTTCCTGGGCCGACTTGGGGCCCTCTTGGGGTGCTCCAGGGCCGTCTTAGAGGCTATCTAGGGCGTCTTCGAGGCCTCTTGGGCACAGCGCCCGTTCCACTCCTCCTCCTCCTACTCCTCCTCCTCCTCCTCCTCTTCCTCCTCCTCTTCCTCCTCCTCCTCCTCCTCCTGTTTCACGATCCCGCTGCTGTGCAATGTGGTGACGACAAGCTCTGGGGCGCAGGCTTGCTCCGCCGTAAAAAAAACATAGTGGGGGCTCCTGGCCGACTTTCTGGCGACGCTTGTCCATCTTGGACACTCTTGGGGGCCCCTTGCGGCCCTCCTAAAGCCTGGATCGCCCCCGGGGTCGCCCTCATGGGGGAACAGGGGTCCTGAGGGAAACGGGTCCTGAGGTTCGTCGCCGTTTCGGAACTCTCGGGGCCTTCCAAGGGCCCCGGGACGGTCAGAAAACGACTCAGAAAGAAGATCTCGTCCTGTGGGAAGACCCCCGGGGTCCAGGAACCGTTCCCCTCAGGACCCGGCTTGCTCACGACGCCGTCATGCCTGGGACCCAAGAAGGCGGCCCAAGGAGGCCCCCCGCAGACCTGCGGCCGGGCTTCCCGCGCGATGGTGGTGGCCGGGGACGGCCAGCTGCCCACGGCGCGGCGGTGGGAGGCCTCCGCCTCCGCGAGGGCCTCGGGAAACCTCCAGCTGCCCGCGGGGGCCGCGGCGGCCCAGGCTCTGGGCGCGGCCGCCCTGGAGCGGGAGTTCAGCCGCATCCCGAGGAAGAGAAGACGGCGTAAGGCTCGGAGGCAGCAGGGGCCACTGAGATCCCGGGGGCGCAGCTGATTCTCAACGGGCGTTTCCATCTGGCTTCGGGCTCCTGCGACCCTCACGGACCGATCTGTTCCGAACAAAAAACGCAGAAAGATGGTGTCCAGGCCTCCGGTCATGATTTTTTTGCGATGTTGTATTTTTTGATCTCAGGGGCGAGGCAGGAGACCCAGAAATGCTCACGTCGCCAACAAAAACACATGGCAAGAGTTTTTGCAAGTTTTCGGCCCCTGGGGGCCCTTGCAGAGCCCCAGGACCGTCAAGAAACGACTCAGGATGAAAAACCGGCCCCGTGGAAACGATCGGAGCTTCCAGGGACCCCGCGTTGAAAAATCAGGACAATCAGGCATGATGGCAACGACAATTGCAATATACATGTGGCTCGCCACGTGTCTGAGACACGACCACCGCCAGGGGGGCCACCTCCAGCGAGGGGGTCCACGATGCCTCCCCCCGAGCTGGGTGCAGGGAGTGTCTCGAGCGAGAGGGGTGGGCCACACCAACAGGAGTGTCCTCACTGGCGCCTAGCGCCAGTAGTGGTGGTGGTGTTGCATTTCCCTGCTCCTACATTCTGCGACTAATTCCGAACACTACCACTGCGGGTCCAATCGACGCTGGGACCCTCGGGTATCGGACACCCCCCGCCGGGCTTCACTTGGCTGCAGACTATTTTCGGATTTTCTGAACCCGGCCAGCGCTCCAGAAATTCAACCTCCGGTGGTAGGGGGTTGCCCAGATAAGCATAAACGATCGCAGGCCCGCGCAGGTGTCTCGGGTCGGCGTTGCCCCCTTCCTCCCTGGCGGCGCTTCCGGCGACGCCGCCGGCGCAATCCGCGCGTCCGGGAGGGGGGGTCCGGCGCCGGCTCGGGATCTCTGCGGGGACCTCCGACAGCTTACACGGCTGCGCCGTCTTTTCCTCTTCCCGCCTCGACGCGGACCAGGACGGGGTCATCAGCCGGAGCGAGTTCCTCTTCGACAGGACCTCTGCAGGAGGGCGTCCACAGGCACCACCACGCCTGGCCAGGGCCATCCTGGGCCCCGGCAGTACGCAGTCTCTGGCCTCGGCCTGGAGGGTCGCTGCTCCATGCCAGGGCCCAGCGTGGCCCTGGCCAGACATGGCGTGGTGGTGTGTCGCTGCCTTCTGCGCAGGATCGACCGCAATCATGACGGCGTGATCTCTCGCTCTGAGTTCGACCCTGGCGGCGCTTCCGGCGACGCCGCCGGCGCAATCCGCGCGTCCGGGAGGGGGGGTCCGGCGCCGGCTCGGGATCTCTGCGGGGACCTCCGACAGCTTACACGGCTGCGCCGTCTTTTCCTCTTCCCGCCTCGACGCGGACCAGGACGGGGTCATCAGCCGGAGCGAGTTCCTCTTCGACAGGACCTCTGCAGGAGGGCGTCCACAGGCACCACCACGCCTGGCCAGGGCCATCCTGGGCCCCGGCACGGTGTGTACGCAGTCTCTGGCCTCGGCCTGGAGGGTCGCTGCTCCATGCCAGGGCCCAGCGTGGCCCTGGCCAGACATGGCGTGGTGGTGTGTCGCTGCCTTCTGCGCAGGATCGACCGCAATCATGACGGCGTGATCTCTCGCTCTGAGTTCGACGCCGCGCTCGCCGCCCCGCAAAGCGCCAGCGCCCCCAAGGAGCCCGTGCGCAGCGGATCCACCACCGCGGCGGCCGGCTCGGTCCCTTGGCCCTCGCGCGGGCTTTTGCAGCGGAGCGCGAACGACTTGGACAGCTCTGTCACGGGATGGCAGAGCTTGGACGACATAGAGGCCCTCGAGCATTCCAAGACGGAGCACTACGTGGCCCAGGTGACCCTTAGCAGGGAACAGATGGCCCTCTTCTCCCGCGAGCTGGAAAGGCTCCAGCACCAGGTGGCGCAGATCCTAGGCGCGGGGGGGGCCGCGACATCGCTGCGCGAGCTGGCGGAGACGGTTGGCTACCTGGAGCTGAGCTGCTCCCCAGAGCGCCTGGCGCGCCTGGAGAGGTCTGTGGGCGACCTCCAGGACAAGCACGGCAGGCTCGCGCAGGACATGCGCGGCCAGCACGCCCCGCTGCCGGAGCGGGTGGCGGCGCTGGAGCAGCACTGCGGCCAGCTCCTGGACCAGCACTCGGAGGAGCTCGCGCGGCTGCGGGGCATGCCATGCCGGACCAGGGGATGGGTGGCGACCTCCAGGGGTCGAATGGGGGGATCGTCATCGGGGGTCTGGGTTTACGACCCCCCCGTGAAGTCACGCCCCTCCCCCTCTTCCTCCTCCTCCTCCTCCTCCTCCTCCTCCTCCTCCTCCTCCCCCTCCTCCCCCTCCTCCCCCTCCTCCTCCTCCCCTCCTCCTCCTCCTCCTCCTCCTCCTCCTCCTCCTCCTCCTCCTCCTCCTCCTCCTCCTCCTCCTCCTCCTCCTCCTCCTCCCCCTCCGTTGAGTCACGCCCCAGGCGAGGGACCTCGGGGACCCGCTGGGCAGGCACGCCGACCTCCTGGCGGAGCTGCAGGGCGGCCGCGCCGCGCAGGAGCGGGCCCTGGCGGAGGCGAGGGCCGCGCAGGAGCGGGCCCAGGCAGAGGCGCGGGCCGCGCAGGGGGGCCACGCGGTGGCGGCGATCGCGTCCCTGGAAGTCCCGACCCTTTCCCCGGGACAGGTTTTCGTCCCGAGTCTCTGCGTGACGGTCCCGAGGCGCGGCGAGGGCCTCCCGGGGGCGAAAATGGCCCAAAGCCCCCCCGCCCTGATTTTGCTCAGCGACGCGATCACGTCTGGGACCGTAGCGGTGTCGGCGCCTTTCTGTCCCCCCCCCAAGTCGGGGGTGGACAGAACCCCCAACAGTGGCACGTCGATTCGTGAATGGTCCGTTTTCGGTTCTCGAGAGGGCGCCGTGGCCGTTCTTTTCCAGGCCTGCGCCCGCCAGGTCTGGGCCCGAAGTCGTTTTCACTGAACCAGGTTTTACGAAAGGGGGGTCTGTCCATCCCCGAGGCGATCGCTCAGGTGGCGGAGCGCCTGGAGAGGGAGACGCTCGACAGGCAGGAGGCGCTGGCGGACCTCGCGTCCAGCAGCCGGGCCGCGGTCCTGGAGGTCCGGGCCGAGCTGGGCACCGGGATGCGAGGCCTGGCGGAACTGAGGCGGAGCCAGGGGGAGCTCCGCGAGGCCCTTGAGGAGCGCCATGCTCCGCTGGTCGAAGGCCTCGCGCTCCTCGAGAAAGACTTCGCAGAACTGCGGCGGAGTCACCTGGAGTTCGGCGAGGCCCTGGATGCGCGGCACGCTCTCTTGGTCGACCGCCTCGCGCCTCTCGAGAAGGACTCGTCAGAGACGCGGCGCAGCCACGGGGAGTTTCGCGAGGCCCTTCAGGCGGCCCAAGCGGCGCACGCTCTGTTGGTCGATCGCCTTGCGTTCGTGGAGAAGGACTCGTCAGAGATGCGGCGCAGCCACGGGGAGTTTCGCGAGGCTTTCGATTCGCGGCATGCTCCCTGGCTCGACCGCCTCGCGACCCTCGAGAAGGACTCGTCAGAGATGCGGCGCAGCCACGGAGAGTTCTGCGAGGCCCTCGAGTCGGAGCATGCTCTCTTGGTCGACCGTCTCGCGCTCGTGGAAAAGGACTCGTCGGAGTTGCGTCGCAGCCACGGGGAGTTCCGCGAGGCACTCGATGCGGGGCATGCCCTCTTGGTCGACCGCCTCGCGTTCCTCGAGAAGGAGATCGGAGCCTCGGCCGAAGCGCACCTTTCCACCTGCGACAGGAGCTTCGAGGTGGTCCGCCAGTCGCTGGATGAGCGCGTTGCGCGGCTGGAGCAGGAGACGCTGGCAGAGCCAGCCTCGGCGTGTCGTGGAGGTGCTGCGCCGGTGTTGGCAGAACCTCTCGCTGGAGCTGCTCCTGCGGTGTCGCTGGCAGCGCGCGTCGCCAGCGTCGAGCGGGGCTTGGGAGAGTCGGCCGCGAGGCACG